TTTGGAAGTATGGCCATTTTCACGATGTTGGTTCTTCCTATGCATGAACAAGGAATATTTTTCCATTTATTGAAATCTTCTTTGATCTCTTTTTTCAGAGTACTGTAGTTTTCATTGAAGAGATCTTTGACTTCCTTTGTTAGATGGATTCCTATGTATTTCAATTTCTTGGATTGGCTACAGTGTTTTGATTAAGAAGGATTCTTGGGGAAAGATCAAGGAGGTAGTAAATGAGATATTAAAGGGCAATTCCAAGGAACACTTGAATACATGTTCAAATGTGGACTGATGATCCATGACAGGAGGACTCTCAAGAGTGTAGAGGTGAGTCTCCAAGAGGGACCCTGCAGCAAAAGGATCTGTAGTTGGAGTGGAGAATTTACTTTCTAATAGGCAAGAGCAGAAGATAAAGATGCTTAGTGAACCAAATGCCTGGATTGAATTATAGAAACTCATTCTGCACTTTGAATTTGAAATAATCAGTTAGTTCACCATCATGGATGGAGTCCTTGGTGTGTAAAACTAGTTCTGGTAACCAAGACAAGATACAAAAATTAGACACATTTGCTGTTTCCAAGGCATTTAAATATTTTTCCCTGAGGATATTTCTCTGCTTCATTTTCTTGTCTTATTTGTCTTCTCTTATATTAAACAAGTACCACATGCAACATATTGTCTAATATCAAGAAACAGAATTTTCAGTTTTGCTCTGTGTATCTGTTGTAGTAAGAGATCATGAAAAACTTGGAAACAATATAAAGATTAACAAAAACAAACTAAAAACAGAAGCATATCCTGCAGAAGCTTACTCTGACATTTTCTCAAAGCCTCAAACCTTACCCTGAGCCTAACAACTTGAGTGTGTGTCCAGTACTGCTCTGTAGGGTCTCTTCAGACTAGCTATGGAGATGTAGGATTCTCTGTCTCAGAAAAACATGGCCACAGCTCTACTAAGAACAAAGTGAAAATTTATTTTTGTGATAGAAACCTTAGGGGCTGGGGATTTAGCTCAGCAGCACAGTGCCTGCCTGGCAAGCATGAGGTTGTGAGTTTGATTCCTGGTACCAGAAAAAAACCAAAACCAAAAAAAAAAAAAAAAAGAGAGAGAGATAGAAAACCTTTAGACAGCCCGTTAAAATTTTTAAGTGATAGAGTAATTATAGTTGTGTTTCTTATATTTAATAATGGTTTTATTGTTTATTATAAATGATTTTTAAAAGACTGTGCTGAGAGCAATTTGTGCAGAGTAACATACATCAATTTGGGTTTCCTTCTTAATTTAATAATCCTGATGAATATTTTAAAAGATCAAAGTAATAAATGTGAAAATTTGTCCAATTTTAGGCTTTTATATAATATAGTTCTAGGTAAATTTTTCCTCTCAAGCTGTAATCTAGACTACTTTCTCTCCTCAGACATTTGGTCTATCCTAAGTAAAAAGAAACTAAATTTAATATTATTAAACTACAAAAACTGATTATGTGGAAGAGATAAAACAATAAGATTAAGAATCAAACTTGAGATTGTTTTCTTTCCCTAGTCAAAACAATGAAAAGGTTAGTTTCAACTTTCAGGGTATACACCAAGGCACAACTTTTAAAGACTACTTTGAGCAAACATTGACAGAAAGAAAACTTCCAAAAAGAAGACACTGAATCACTGAACTTTTGACTTAAGCAGCACTGAGCATGTCATCTGGCAAACATCAACTGTCTTTCTAGAAGAGGAAATTAAGTTAATAGGAAATAACTTGAAAGGTTACCAAGCAGCTTAGAATTAGGCTGGGAATGGAGGTAGCACCGAGGTCTATAATACATTCAGTTGTACCATAGTAACACTTAAGTCTCTGTTTCTTTTTCTTTTTTTAACCCGAGGCAGAAATTGTGACCATGAGTATCACACAGTAGAACTGGAATGGGGGTGGGGGATGTAGGCTCTGGGAGTCACAGACTTCCTTTTGAAAGTTGTGTTATCTGTACAGACTCTCATTTGAGGACAGTGTGGCCTGCCAGGGAATTTTCCAAGGCTTGTCTGATCATCCTCTTCATCTCTACTTTCCTTTCCAGACCAGAACTTGGTTCTGTACTTCACAGAATCTTCCCATGCTCCTGTCTAATTCTATGATAGCCAATTACACAGACACCCATGAGTACAGAGACATGCTATTTACACTTAAATGTTATATATTGTGGAGCATAAATTGTAAATTGAGTCTAGGAGATGTTCATGCTTGTCTGCCCTGTCCTTGAGCCAGAGTAGAAAGTGGAAACTTCCTTCTCTTTTCTGGTCACAGCTAGAAGCCCTAGCACTAATGACTGCTGTAGTACTTACAGGGCAACATAAGACCTACCAGAGACAATAGGCATCTGGGGAAGATATAGTTTCATCACTGCACCCTGTTTGTCTCATCTTGTCCTTGTTAGACTGTTTTGCTCTTCTCACTACCCCACTGTAGTCACCATTACTGTTCCCAGAAACACCCACCACCCTTCACTTATTGTCTTTGGCTCAAATATAATGAATAAATGTCAACATTCTGGGTGGCTGGTGGCCTTGTATTTCCTGAGAACAACTGGTCATCCTAGATCCCTGCCTGCATGCCTATTTTGTTTCTTGCCCTTTTTCTTCCCATTGTACCCTGTAATATTTGGCAGGAGACTGGAAACTCACTATAGGGGTCCCTGAAAACTGGCACCATGGAAGGAGTCATCATAATTGTATCTCCATTTTCTCATGAAATCTTCCATGGCAGGAAAATGGATAAAGTAGGTTTCATTGTTATGCTTACCTTTTTTTTTTCTCTCTAGAATAAATAAATAAATAAAATTTCTTATAGTAAAAAATGGATAAATGTCTTTTCCAAATCAGGTTGTAAGCAAACTGAATTCAGTCCAAAAATTTTAACTGTATTGGGAAAAAGGAAAGATCATTATTTTTA